ATTTGTCAAATGCTGGAATTCGCTGCCGTATGAACTAGTCGAAGCGATTTCCTAGGAGTCCTTTGGGAAGAAACTTGACATGTTCTTAAGGGCTAAGGACAACATCACGCTATAATTTACTTTTTTTCTATTTTATCGTTAAATATAGCTATATTCCGACCTGAAGGCACCGGTGATCCACTGCTACCAGGTACTGAAGCCCGTTAAACGAAAGCTTCTTCTGTTTAGTTCAAAACCATTTGGACGTAGTGTAGTCATTGAACATTGGAATTCGGTGACGCATATGATATAAATATAGTCAGGGTAGTAGTAAGGAGGTACGAGTTTTGAGGGACAATTATTCTTTAGTTCAGTCGGTGGTGTTTAATTGTTTGTTGCTAGTTAAATTTTTGTCAAGCTAAAGTACTATCCTCATCTCATGAAGGAATTTATCCCAATGTGGATTCCAAGCGTTTAATAGAGTTGCAAAAATAAATATCGCCGTATCATAATTGTGTTAATACTCTTATGTGTGATCAGTGTATTGATATACAAATCCTTTTATCACTACAATGTGCACTGACAAAAAGTTGTGGTCAGGTCATCCGAATCATCATTTGCACTGGGTTTGAATGTATGAATACGTAATTTAATGTTGAGTAAATTAATTCATTAGTAGGTTCATCTTCCAAGTATCCTTTCACACATAGTTTTCTGGGAACTGTCGGTTATATGCGTTTGTGTTTTTTACTGCTCATTTCGCACCGTGTACTGCAGTTGAAGCAGTATCAAAGCACCACATTACCTCTTAAAGTTGGTTTTTCCTGCTAAGATACTATTTGGTCTGTAAAATTTAATTGATATAAAACCACCGTGTGATCACTATATATTTATTTGACTATTTGTTACTAAGGTTGCATTTCCGTCTATCACTACACACTTCTCAACTATACGTATCTCCTAAAAATGTCTATTAACCAACTGTCATATTACCACCAACCTAGTAAGATTATTCACGTCGTACATAGTGTTGGTTTAGTAGATGGGTAAGTAAGTTCCTTCAATATATGGAGAATTCCTCACATGCTGAGTTATTCAATGAAACAAAAAACCCAAAAAGCCTGTATATTAACCGCTACAAGTATTATGTTGGTCTCCTTTTGTTCCCTTTTGTAAAAATGATTTAGGTGAAGTGTACTGCCAAACCCCTCACTTTTCAGAACAACCTGGGAAGTTAATTGGCACTAACCACCATTCGGGTCTCACACCAGTGATGTACACATTACTGCGGGGTTTGTGGCAATATATATCACAAAGGGATGAGTTTTCTGTCCTCATACTAGGTTTGGATGGCGCTGGAAAAACAGTAGTTTTGGTTACATATGATTGACAAGTCTAGACTTATTTAGAACAAGCTAAAATAAATTTTGTTCCAAATTATAAATCTATCCCAATTCAGAAAATCACTACTACTGTTGGTCTAAATAGTAAGTTTCCCGTCTTTCATAATTTGAAGTTGGATACATTGAGGTTGATGGGATCCGGCTTAAATTTTGGGATCTCGGCGGTCAAGAAGAGCTTCAATCGTTGTGGGATAAGGTTAGCTTAATATGCATTTCTCAGTTTTATTTAGTACTATGCTGAATCAAACGGTGTTATTTATGTCGTTGATTCTGCAGATAGCGATCGTTTTGATGAGTCTAAAGATGCATTTGGTAAGTGCCTCTTGTAATTATTGGTGTTAGATAAGATGATTAGAAACCCTGTACTGGAAGGTGTGCCGTTACTGGTTCTAGCTAACAAGCAAGATATGCAGGTAAGAAAATTAGCTATGTTATTCGACTTTTGTGACGGATTCAACTCATGTACCGATTTGTACCTCCACAACTTTGACAAAACTGATCCTTTGTAACGCATCTGTGTCAATGTATGCATGCACGGATCTCTCCACCATACACCATAGTTGGAGTTGTTAGATATTACAGAACCTGTCGTAAAAAATTTAATATAAATATACTTATTCAGTTACCCTAATATCATGTCGACAAGACTGATGCTTAGGACAATAAACTGGTTGATATTTTAAGCATAACGCGGTGAGGGCCTGGGACGATTGTATATTAGCCCTTCACGACATCACTTATCAGTAGATTAAGAGGAGAAACTAACAAAACGATAGATGACCACCCAATTGTCTTTGACGTTTTCTTGTTCAGTTCGTTTAGATATAATATAAATATAGAGAAATACAAAAGATTAGTCTAATTTCCTCCTACATTGATACAATAATGGATGGATAGATGACCGGTTTTGGAAATCGTCATATACTAAGTATTCGGAATAAATTTAGGTTTCCTTAAAAGGTGGAGAATTTCTAAATGGCGAATTCACATATTAGAAAACTAATGAAGGGTCGTAACATTTTGATTGGTCAGGAAGTTTTTCAAAGTAACCACCATGGCTCCTGAATCTTACGTGCGAACATCAAGGTATCTCTAGACAAATCCTTAAGTGTCTAACTCTCGTATGAATGGTTGCAGAAACGTTGGTTTGAGGACTGCTTCATAGTGAAGTCTCCAACTCATTTCTGATGCTGAATCTCTTGTCAGGGCTTCCTATCACTTTTCCTTTCAGTTGTTTAATGAACTCAAGTATGTAGCGGTAATCTGGATTTCCGTTGTGCTTTTTTACAAGTCATCTCGTAGTCTTTTTCAAAGCTCTCTATTGTACGTCTCATCGTTCTCACAATGGTCAGTGAGTACTGAAAAGCTGTCATAGTGGAGTAGTCGAAGTCCTCGACGAATCGCACTAGTACGTGTTACCACTTTTTGACAATATTTTGGTGACTACGTTGTATTTTAGTTAAACCTGCCACTTTCCGACCCACATATTTGTTCTTAAAGACGTAGGGAGTTGTACCCGAAAATAGAAATAATGAAGTCTGGAATTGTATCAAATGTATCTAAACGAACCTACAATTCAGTTGACAAGCATCTACACTATGTTCTTGTGCTTAATTCACATTTTTTAGAGTGCATTCCATTTGTCTGAAATAAACAAAGTTTTCTACGACAGTCTACGTCTTGTTGGGCAACGTCAATGCACATTTCATGGTGTCAGTGCACTTAACGGGTAAATTAGTCGTTAACATGTCGATTTCTAGATATAACCATTTCAGTCAACCTATAGTTTTATTTCTCAGGTTGGTTAACGTTTTATAACATATCAGTATGTTGTGCACTGTCAGGAGGGAACGTCTTCAGCGCATTTGAACTTTAAATTTGTTTTGTTCCATAAAACGCACAACACTTATATAGTGTCTCAATAACGGACATGAAAAGATATACTTCAGAGACAAAGATTCTGCCATAACACTACTAGTAACTTTCAAGTGTTGAATATATTATGAGAATGATAAGGCATATCGAAATACCGATGCCAAGGTTGGACTTAGTGGTTTCTAGCAAATTGAGCACTGGATTGGAAGTTAATAGTGGGAACTTTTCGTTTACTCGGAAAGTGGCTAACATTAAGTTGCGAAACGTCAGTAGTACAATCTCCTATTCATTGGGATATCACAAGAAATATATTCATTAGTGTATCGAAATACGTTACTCACCTCCAATTACTAATTAGATGGATGTAGAAGCATTGCTTTCAAAGTCAGTGACCATTTACCTCCCCCCGAAATCAATTAAAGATAAGAAGTATACTTGTCCTTTTGTTAGTAATGCCGGTTGGTGAAAATGCAGGACTTCATCAATTGAAGTGACTCGGATATCTGCTTACCTCGAAGCACAGTGGTAGTTGGGGTAGAAATTGGTTGAATAAATGAAAAGACTGAACCAAGATATGGGGTCTGTTCATGAACTTATTGACTGTTAAACTAAGTTGTGTTGGTAAATTCAGACTACCTAGCTAAGGAAAGTGTGGACGGAAGTTGAAGACAGATGACTTCGCTCAGAATTAGATTGTTTTTTAGTGTAAACACCTGTGTTTTTATTTCTTAGTTGTTTCGAAATGTAGTGTTCAAGGGGTTTATTGCCGCTGATAATATCCAACATTGTTTAAGATTTCTAAGTAGGAACAGTTGACGGTTTCCTGGCCCAAAAATTATAGGGTCATATCCTCCTTAACCTCATCAGTGAATAGAATGTTAAGCAACTTTTGGTAAGATAACATGCTGAGACGATGGAATTTATCTCGACATTTTGAAGTGCATACAGTAACACCCCGTAAAAAGTACTAGTGGGGACCATGTCCTTTTTTAAGAATCGATGAAAATTCGGTGTATGACCTTGTAACTGCATAGAGCTAGACCAATAATTTCAGCCTTAGAAACCAGAAAAAGTATATAGCAATCTAAGAGGTTAAAGAGAAAATGAAACTTCCTGAATATCTACATCAAGCGCTACTTTAACTAACCAAAGAAAGTAACTAGACTGATGAACGCCAGTCTATTAGCGTGATCCTGTTGTGTCGTCGAAAGATACATTTACACCTAGTTGACCAAAATAATAAAAGCAATCATTTCTTGCTACCGAGTTTTCACCATTCGACCATTTAGTTCTATGACGTCTTACTTCTAACATATTAACGCTGTCTATTTTGATGTTTACACTTTGATAGGGAGGGAATAAACAGCAGTATCAAGTGGATTGCTGATAAGGTTAAAGGTAACGCTAAACAAAGGCCACCAAAACAACTTGAAATCCCGTAACGTGTCTCCGTAAAACTTTTTTTGTTCATATAGTACTCAGAGGATTTTGCGGTATTACATACTTTTATTTAACATCTTTTGGCAGGTTTAATAGTAAATGCATGTAAATCTGTATCGTAAAAAATATGACGAAAATGTATATTAACTTAGGTTTTCTTTCATTGTACAACAAGATGCTTTCAGTAGTTGTAATCTTTCCTTTGATTTATTGTCGAGTGACAAGGTTCTAAAAGACAACAGTAGATATTAATATTAATAACAATTGAATTAAACTATAAGTAACAAATAGTACCAATTGTACAAGTAGTTCTAACTATCTTGAGTAAAGCAACGACTAAGTTTCGAGGATTTAATTCGCGTTATTCTGATTAAATGTTTGTGCTTGCTCTCCCCAACGTAGTAACAACCAGCCTTATCTTTAATAAAAAATGTACTAGTTATGATCGTGAAACATGAACTCCAACCCAATTGCAAAATCAACTTGGTTTTACCTCTGGGGTTGTTTTAGCTTTGGCAACTTTAGCTATGTATCACAATCAGTTGTTGCACAGTATTCAATTTTACTAATTATTCTGACAGGAATATGGTTTTCTCGTTGTATATATACAGCTTACAAGTTGTAGTAAGAAAAAAAGTGGATGGACCTGCGGCATTACAAACGATTTTGAGACATGTCATTTGAAGTCTATAATCACCGGTTGCGATAATCACACGGAGACTATCCTGGTAGTTCATACTTGTTATCATGACTTAGTCAAATCTTCGATGGCTTCATGGACTGGTGCCGATTGGCCATCCTTACCTGATACTTGACTCCTAACCCCAAACATTGCTTACTCGGTAATCCAAAGGTACATGAACAATGCTTCGAAGACACTTATGATCGAATACTAGTAACCTACGACTGTCTTTTATTCTTAATGTCTTTCACACCCTTGAAGTAGAATGAAATGAATTGTTGCACAGTAAGCTCGTCGTTTGATTGGCAGATAGATATCTGCCCTACGCCACAAGTGGTGGGATTCGACAAAATTCAAGCGGGCTTTCTTAATTTGTACCGAGACTTCGTGAGTGAATTAGTCGACACAGGAAAACCGGGCAACCCTGGCAAACACCACTTGAAGTTATCAATTTCAATAACAGGTCGCTTTATTAATGTAAGGTTTAGCAATGCATAAGTTTGCTATTTTATATAAATCGATCAGCAAAGTAGTCTGTTTACTTTTATGCATAAGGAGGGAGCAATTTTTATAATAAAGTAGCGGAACTTACGCAAAACAGCCATCATATTGACTTAGACAGTTTGTTAGAGCCCAACAAAACGTTGCATAAACACGCCATGGTAGACTGGCATCGGATGCAAAACGATAATACGTTAATTTACATAAATCATTTGAAAGGAATGAATCGCTTGAAAGTCGCTTCGAACTTCTTAATGGAGTTTGAAGATGTCCAGCGGATAACATTGTGCTTGTATATGAGCTGTCAGGAACTGGGCAGTGTACTGACTGTTTGTACTGAGTGGAGAGCAAACCGACGAACCTCAAATGCTTTTCAACTGCCTTAAAAAACGGAACAATGCAGTATGAAGAAGTGGTTAAGATGATTACCAAGTAAAAAGTGTGTTTAAGCCATCCACGTAAGTGTTTTGAGAAAGTATTAAAACACCTAAAATTAATTCTCATGGGTACCGTTTCACAGGACATCAGCTTGAACTCTTCATAAAGCGAATTTTGGTTAAAATGGTAGTATTATTTCCCATCACATGACACATTTGATTCACATAACAGTATAGAGACCAGTAATTACGTACTGAGCTGGATTACGATTGCTTAGTAATAAGATTAACGTTATTTTTTTGACAAAAGCTTTTCCTTGATAATAGCTGTGAGATAGGTGTTATTCCTATAGTGCTAAATAAATATACATTTTGGTAACTAGTTACTAAGTATATAATCAACAAAAGTCATCCGTTATGGGGTGGGGAAGGAACCATCACTTTTGGTGTCGGACCAGTTTTTTTTCTGCGCTCTAAATTTTAACGTTCTTTCTAGCAAACCGATTCGAGCAAATTCAGAGAGATAATATGTCGAAATATTTTTTTAGTGAAGCTTGAATTAGTCTGCCGGGCAAAAAGTTGGAGCTATTCTAATCTCAATTACTGAGATGATTTTGAATATAATTTTTACATCATGTCTTCAATGAGCACTCTGCATCCGATTTGGATCAAACTGTTCGTCTGAAGTTTGACGATCGTTCTTATCAATTATTTTAAGAAGGCGACAATCGGTTCGATTTATGCAACTGAATTTAGGAAGTGGTTGGAATTATCAAAGGCCACAAAGTTACCTCTAATCCATCTACAAAAAGCAGTAAGATCCGCCCAAGAGACTGTTGAACCGATCCAAATTGGTCTTCATTGTACGCGGCCAGTGTCAAACAAGCTAAGATTTCTGTTGCCCAGATAATAACTTGACCACTTGTTCGTGCTAGCGGTCTATCGATGTCCAAGTCGCCTGCATGTTCAATATCTGTAGCAGTTGAGAAAAGGTGTGCTGTCGAAGCATAGGGTATTTCTGAAGATAAAATACTGAACAGTTGTGTTCGAGATAGTCGTGTGTATAACTTGGAAAGAATAAAAATAAGATAGATCTTAGTTAAAAAACAATAGGACACGTATATGTAAAATAAGGCGACGCGATGGAATGAACAAGCTATTAGACACTGTTTTTATTAGATTACAGCGGACTCCTACTACATCCAACTGAAAAGGTCTTGTAATTAGTTGGGCTTTCCTACGATTACTACTCATGATCTAGCTAAATTCATAGAAGACTATGAAACCAGTTGAAATCTGAGAAGAAATAAAATTTCTTGATACTGACTTACAGAATATTCTAGGAACTATGAAAATGTGAGACCACAAAGATATAAGACTTTTAAAACTACAAATGATCTATAGCTGCAATCGCTTGATATATTTAATACGTAGACAAAACGGTGTAATTTTACTTCAGCCGCTTATACTGAACTTCGGCACCAACAATTAAGATTTGACGAAATAAAGTTTCAAACTTGTGTTCTGATCACTGCTCTAATTAAGTATTTTACTTCATATCTAACCAGCTGTAGTGCACATCATCGTTAACCATCTCCATAAATATTTCACTTATTTCCGAACAAGTCTGGTTTTGTTTAATTGTCAACAAACTGCAGTGTATCCCATATTTTTGTTAAATGAAAATTTTAGTCGTTCATTTTTTACCAGCGTACCTTAGAAAGCAGAGTGCGACCAATATTTATTAAATTTCGAGCAATTATGGACCCGGAAGGTTGCATATTAGACACATTTCCATTAGTAGCAGACAATTGTTTTACTTTAACGCTGTTGCGTTGACGCAGACTTGATTCAAATGATGAGGGTAGATACTGTCTATATTTAAAGTCAATATTTTTGGGCCAAAGAGCTGAAAATAAGCGAAAAAATCTGAATTATGGGGCATTGGCGTATAGATGTTACAAACGTGGGATCATGAGAATTGACAAGCACAAATGGTTTCAGTATACACTAGAAATGCCTATCGAAAAATGAGAAAAGTAAAGGGGATTGTAGCGTTACTACATACAACTCGTCTGGTATCTGAAAATATTCGACCTGGACAGACAGTGAGAATGGAGAACTTATGTGATGCGAATCGAGATCATTTGTTTGAGTTAGTGTGGTCCCAGTGAACAGGATCAAAGGATAGAATAGCTGGTCAACAGGGGGAGTCCTGTTAAACAATAAAATTACAGAATAATTAAAAAGTAAGCACGACTAAATACCACTCAAAACAAAAATAAGCATAGATCATTTACTAGTTTATGGAATTAGGACGTTAGTTTTAGGATTATTTCTCGCCACAGAACATACTTTTACATTCAACTGAAAAGGTCACCCTAGTTTTTTGATTAACTAATGAGGGGTCTTTTTCTTAGATATCCTTTAAACGACGTGAATACAATTGTCTTATAAACAGTACGAATCTCTAGATTAAGTGGGACAGTTGAACCTACTGACTAGTTATTAATCTTCGAAATATTATCAGCTCTGATGGGTCTGCAAAGCAACGAAATGGCTATAAATTGGTAGTTTTACATTTGGAGACTAATTTGACTGATGGCGCGAAAATATCCATACGCATATACGAGGTCGTTCATTTCATCTGATTTACATTACATCTAAGGGAAGAGGATACAGTTGATTTGTATACAATAACTGATGAACTAATAGCGGAGACACTGTACAATACATAACTACATAAACATGGTGGATGAGGAAATTGAGAGATAGTCAGGAGTCATCTTATAAAATGAATGGAATGTTTTAAATGAAACCATTTGGCAGCAGTGATGCCTAGCTAAACTATCCAGCAAGGATATAAAATTTGTAACCACTTAAAATAAGTTCCTTAGCTTTAGTCAAGGTTTAAGAAGGAGTAAGCTGCTGGAAGTGATAGGGATGACTGATTGTATTTAATAATGATAGTTGAAAATCTCTATAAAACTACTATTAGAAGTCGCACTTAAGCAACTGGCTTTACCTGTATTGATTTGAGTAATCAAATAGTAATATAACGATGTTGATAAACTGGATATTTTGAAAACTATGCATACGAACACCGGATGGTTGACCGTACGTTTAGTGCTAATGCGCAAACACTATACAAATCCAGAGTATTGACTAAATCTCCTCTATATACTTTGAAACGCTGATTCATTAAGTCATATGTTAGTCATACTTATCCATTTTTGAGGAGTGAGATATACCGCAGCAAAGTTTCGATGGAATGAAACAAGTGTAGGGGATTTCGAAAGCCTGTAGCTAAATAATTGAGGCGAACCGATAGATTTTACAGCAAGATTACTTAAAATTGCTGACAACCAGGTGCCCATCATGTATACATATCTGCGTTATATTTGTTTAGTGATCAGATGCTGTACGAATGCCGTTCATAGTAGATTTTTAGGAATCGATTTCTTACTAAGACATTATTTGATTGACTCATGTTAACTGAACAAGGTATTCCTTGCTCCAGAGTAAACTGATAAAGTAAATGTTATTTGTTGGGATATTTAGAGGGAGTACTGACAAGGTTAAAAAATGTGAAGTTGAAGCTACTAACTGGAGCTGTACATGATTAGTGAGTTGAGGTTTTATTTATACGAATATTGAGTTTTACCACCTATCACATACAAATAGATTTTGATATGTACTAAGAAGGACTTGACACAGATGACATTGTTCACTACCCAGCGACCAGTCACTTTTAAATATATCTGAGCATTACATGATTTTAGTTGCGGTCCGTATAGCTGTGGTAACGTCTCCAATTGTGAAGCTGGATGACAAGGAAGCGAACCCGCCAGGGAGCATCAGTTCGCTCAAGATTACAGGTACACCTTGTTGATGGGTGCAAAATAGCACGAAACCCAGATCTACAATCACATCACACTCAGATGATCATGTTGCCTATAAAAATTCACTTTGCGCCACCATACAGATCTATTTTAGTGTTATTTAAGGATCAAGTAGACTTGACAGTTCAGAAGAAATGTTGAATAGGATCAAAGCTGCCGCAAACTTGAGTGTAAAATATTCAGTCTATATATGAATGTTGACGATCGATCATAAAAAGTTCAAGTAGGAACCACAAGACCAGATATTAATGATAATCATTTACGACTGTTGTAAACTAAAAGAGGAGGATGTGATGAAAATTTGACGCTTACTGTGTCCTGAAAAGCCGATTGATACTGGAATTTGTAGAGGTTGTAGAACGGTATCCGGTTTAAACCTTAGGAAGGAATTTGAATACTAGATAATGGGCATATATATTACCATGCTGTAGAATCCTAAAGTGGTAGTTATTTTGAAATTTAAACGCTAAACTATTACGTTATCGGTATAAGCTGATATGAAGAATTACGAAGATTTTGAGTATTTGCACGCACTACATAGTAAGGTGTGAAATATTTCAGAGCTCCATGAACTTGAACCTCGTTGAGTGATACCTGACTAAGTATAACAGTATCAAACTTTTATGACAGTAACTACGTTTACAAACAATCTGACTTACGTGTACTTAACAGGTTTGTTCCACGAGTATTTGATTCATGAGCACTTGACACAAACTGCTCAATTAACTGGAAACATAAATTACTTATTTGCCTCCATAATACAGGCCTACCACCTTTTAAAGAAAAATAAAGTTATTGTACGCAAAAATTGTTTTTTCGAACTGACACTTTTTGTATTAAAACAACAAGCGTAAAATGATTGCGACTGGTTGACCTAGCTCATATGTTGGTGTCAAAACACCAACAAACCTTTGAACATATTCTGAACTAGTCATATTGTCTACTCTTAACTATTGTATTAGGTATAGATCAAGAAAGGGTGCAGCATGATCAACTCTTGGTAGACATTTAAGGGTTGAAGAGTACCCAAACAGCATTCGTTATTAGCACATCTCTCAAGTATGTAATCTAGATTAGACAACTTTAGATACTTACATCTGAATACGTTCCGGTCGAAAAACTATCAGTTCCAGAATCTTAAACTTTTGTAAACAAAATAACCCCGTACACTGACTACTTAATGAGTCTTATACAGATGTTTAGCCCCCAAATGCCCTGGTATGGCCGAGAGTGGGGTGGCCCAGCCCTCCCTCTCGAAATGCTCTCACACGGCTACGCGTCTACAGCCTCTGCCAGGGAAGTCCTACTCACTGCCTTCCCGTGGCAAGGGTGTTGTTTGCGAAAATGAGAGGACGAAAAGCGAATGTCCGGCGCTTTAACCGGACCCCAAACCAAATCAATGTTGCACATGGGCTCCAGTATCCTGAGGAAACAAATGGCGTATGAACCAATTTTCGGTCACCGGCTACCATGGGACTGCATCTCCTCACGATGCTCTACTGTCTTGTGGGTTAGACCTTTAGGTCAAAGGCTCGGGTTGTGGCCCTCTAAGAAAACTACCTGCATCGGTTTGGGCACCCGGGCAGTATCACAGCCCACAAACAAATATGACGAACTGTCGATAATTATGGAAAATACTTTTCTTGCTTCAATTAACAATCAAACGATTTACATTATTATTACTATTATTGTTATCATTATTTACTACGTCATTTATTCACTCTCTTTTATTTCCACTGTCTATCCTTATTTTTCGACTCATACAGCAGCTCGCCTATGGTGGAAATTCGGTTCTATCTAAACGTTCTCGAGTAGAGACGTTATCACATATGGCTCAGAATAGAAGCCAGTGGCGATCCTGCTGTAACCTTCTTTTACTTTCTTCATAAAAAATTGGTTGCTCCTTCCTTAACTGAAAGATCTCTTCTGATTGTGCGTTTTGTCTCCTCCACTACCTTACATAATCTGTTCGTTATCGTTCTTTTTTAACGCTCCTTACTTTTTTTTCCTTCTTTCTCTTCAAATTCTCATTGTTTTGTGTGGCGCATATATATTTGGTACCCTCTTGTACCAATATTTATGTGTTCAAATAAATAAATAAATAAATAGAGAATAGGACTTTTCTACCAACAAAATGAACTGTCGATTGTACACCTTGGTTAACAGAATCTGTATAGATATGCATTGTTTAACTGTCGAAAGTGCGACGTCTAAAGACATGTTTATGGTAAAGTTCGATACATATCTAACTAGGAAGCACGGCACACAAAGCGGCATCTTATCATAACATTCGATCTAGGAAGTAATTAAATGTACACCATTCACGAATGAAGCATCTTTGTTTGGTACTCTTCCTCGCAATAGGACAGGTCAAATAATTTTTCACGTCAGAGACTACAGTTTCAGTATGATTCTCCTAAATGCCATAGTATCTGAAGAGTAAACATGTAGTCGATATTATCACAGTTTGGTCATCCATATCCGGCTTTTCTAGTTATTGATTTGAAGGTTACAAGCTCTGATTCTATTTATTTATACTCACGAAATCTATTCAATTGCAGTAATTCTCCTTAACTCCAGGTTATGCTGTAAATTGTGGCCAATTAAGTTGAGCCTTGCAAAATTTGTTCATTTTTATATAACCATGAGCATACGCTATGTGATTGTGCTTAATGACTCGTAAAAAGTCTAGCAACTTCAAAAGAACACTACTTCAGAACACCAAATTTGGTTAACAATAAACGTACCCAAGTGACTGAGCGAAAATATGGAAGACCTCACATTTTGATTGGTAGCCACCAAATCAGCCAATCTTTCCAAAGCCAAATGCTAAAAGATTATCATCAAGATGCCAACTTACTTGTTCTAAAGGATTAGCACAAGCACCTAGAACTCCTTGGACTGAATTGGAAGGGTCAAGGTCAGAGGATAACGGGATTTCGATAGGCTATATTCGTTAAGTTAAAAGAATCAGAGGAATTACTTTCTGAAACTGCGACTTCAGGACATCAATCGCACAACTCCACGAAAACTGGAGGTGAAAGGTTGTGATCAGAATCAAAATAATTAACCGAATATCCAAAATAAGCCAAATAAAGGAGAGCCTTAAGTGTGAATTATTCTTGTAACTGAAATTACCATTGGGGATGCCAAAATGGATTAGGGCATACTGCATAGAGCGGCAAGAAATATAATACTCTTCCGACGGTTGTGAGAAGACGAGTAAACATATGCTCCTTTGTTATCACAAATATGTTGCCCTACAATGTGAGGTATTGTGTGAGAACTTACAACTGGATATGAGTAGTTAAGCGTCAGTTTATTCATGACGAGCACTGTGACACAAAACAGTAGACCCATAAAAGCTCCACAAGTTGTAAGTATAAGTGCTCTTTGGTTCACGGAAGGACTAAACAAGATATGATGTTAGTTGAACGACATTACAAATGATTGTATTCAAAAAACGACCCGTATTTCTCAGTTGCTAGGAGTTTGGCTACTACCAGACTATTTATTGCACCCAGTATCATGCTAGAAAAAAGGATTTTACAATCGCTCCAGATGAAGAAAGCCCCACATATCTGATACGTATTACGGAAAACACGGTCCGTCACTAAAATATTATTGAAATTTCATACTTTACCTGACAGTCGAGCCCGAAACATGAGCGTCGTTAAACTAATAACTATAATATTTAGTAGTAACAAGAAGATTTTCGACGTGACAAAAAGGTTAAGGAACGTATCTATAATGTTAGTACACAGAGTTATCACAGTACCTGTTATCCAAAACCAAGGAGCACAAAAGCCTATGTGTTGCAAAAACACCATAAGCACTAACAACAAAGTGCTAATTCCACACGACAGAAAACATGAGTAGACAGACCTGAACCGGAGTTCCTAGATGCGTAGGATGAAAGAAGTTAAAACTAACTAGTATCAGTGACATGTCTCTGCCGTAAAAAGTGCAAGTGGAATGTTCTTCACAGTTTCAACAATCAAAAGGTTGTACAAGACGATGTGCTGATCAGAATGGTCAAAGAAATTGCGGGCACGGTAGAAAGCTATACCACTTTCAAACTTCACCGCGTTTTCTTTTCCACAACCTTTAAGGCTGGATTAACGAAAGGTACATTGTACCTAAATTTCAAGGTCGCTTGTATGCATGTAGGTTAGCTTGGTCCTAAGGTTTTCGTATACTTACATAGTCTGTTGATGTTTGAAAGTTCTTTTTTAGTAAAACCTTGGCTTCGTTGCTGCTGAGCAGCATTTTCTAAAAACCGTAGTTTGAATAGTTTAGTCAGATAGTTTGGTACAGCAGGGTGGGAAAAAATATAAGTAACCGTAAATTATTTTAGAGATTGATCATCAGTGTAACTCATCGTTCTACTCAGAGTTATAGGGAAAATACCTGACAGTCGATAAATTTGGAACTGGTATCATCTGTCATTAATGCAAACACTGCCTTCTTCACCGTAGTCAGTGAAGATTTTTCCTTATACCCAATCATTTGTTTTACTTTATACCAACGCTGTACCGTTCCTCGTGGTTCTTTCGAGGGGATTACGCCGGCTTACATAAATGATGCTGCAACGCTAAATGAACTTCTAAAATAAACGGTTATATGAGTCTCCTACATCGAAGCTCACCCCATTATTTTTCTGTACACATTCTAACTGAAAGCGCTCCGTAACAAATCCACATCAGATCAGTGATGAAAACGCCGTGCTACGTATACTTTTCGACATCTAGCCAGCTTGAGTCAAAAATTATTTCGACATCCCTAGTAGAATCATAGATTTACTTGAGATTATTCAAAAGCCTGGACACCAGTTATAGAGATAACTAAACGTTAGAGATTGGTAAAGTCCGCAAGCGTACAGGAAGCAAGCACACAGGGAAAAAGAGTGTGTGTGAGTGTTAAAAATCCACATATATTTATGAGTGTTAATCAAGTAGGGATAAGCTAGTGATTGTCTGTGTATTACAACCAATAGGAGAATAGATTGAAAATTGATGCCCAGATATGTGCTCAATCATACTCACACAGAAATTAACATAGTGGATTAGGTGTCTAAATTACAGTAGTTGAATTGGCTTACTACGCGTTTTTCATAGAACCTGAATTTGAGTCCCTGAACGGATTTCCTAGCTCGCGTTCAATTAAGTTGCAATGTGTCCTATTCCTTTTGGAGTGAGGATGGAAACTCTGTGTTTCCATACTTCAACTGGGGTTAAATAAAACCTTCGAAGATTATGTGGAAAGTTCTTTCGTTGAACTGGCCTTAAATGCATTTCAATTTTACCAGTGCAATGTTTGCTTGGAAGGCATTTTCCTCTCAGCGCAAGCCATCAGGTCGTAGAGTATCAACTCTTCTGGATCTTTTTCAACTTGGTATACCTCTGGAGGGGAGTTACTTAGGTTGTATTCGCAGTCTGCAACATGTCACGGATGGACTAATTTACAATTTGAACTGTTGAAGGTAAGGACCTTGTTGTCTGCCGACCACTGAAGTCGAACCGGATTCTTTTGAAGTGCCGGTTTACTCTCTTGATCGCAAACGTCTCTATTGAGTTTCCCATCACCAACAAAAAGTTGTAAATCTGACGATATTCGATGTGGTAGATCGTTTATATAGATTTCTAAATGAAGAGGTTCTAGCACTGAACTCTGGGAGACCCCATCAGCACTTTCTATAGCCTGAGAAAAAATGAAGCTAACCCTGAACTTCAAACGTCAATTATTTAGATATGAAGTAAGCCGACCAATTAATTATGATTTGGTAACTAACTGTTTAAGCTTATTGATAAGACTTCTACGATTAGCCCTATCAAGCGCTTCTAAGAATTCAAGGTGTATGACGACAACTTTCCACTTAAGACCAAGGATTGTTGTCCGTGACCTTTTCTGAAGCCGTGCTGTTGGAGCGAAAAGACGTTTATGGATAGTAAACAGTCACGTAGGCCATCGCATATCTTGAACCTCATAATTACTGAGGGTATTGAGAGAAGTACTACCAGACTGTAGCTTAAAGGTTAACTGCGTCAATCTCCTTTGAAAACTGTTGTGGTGTGAGCCAGTTTCTGATTTTCTGTTAAAATGCATCTGCCTGGCGAATGTAGTAACGTCACGCTAAGCGGTGATGTCAAGACTGAAGCTGCTTCTCACAGTTATATCTTTTATCATGTTGACAATTGCTTGATCCCAGGTCCGGACAGCGAAATCTCATCTCCAGCATTTGGACCCTGTTTACGAATGACTCAAAAATCATTGCATTACTAAAAACACCTGGAAATGTCGGGTCAGAACCAACTTCTTGGACTTTCTGAGGGACACTGTTAACATTCAGGATATTCGCCCTCTGCAAAACAATTAGGCGGCCTTTCTGGATTAACAGAACCGACCACAGTCTAGCAAGTGCACATGTCCGACGGTCTGTGGAATTTTTACCAGCCGTTAATACGAGTGTGTGAGTTTCTCAGGAGACTCTTAACAGACCAACTTCGTGGAGACGCAATAGTAATCGATTTTGAGGACAGAGTGAAATAGCTTATTCTGTAATTGAGGAGGTCACCACAAAATCATTTACGCTCTTACATCAGGACATCAGAGCATCAATTAGTATCACCATAGATGTATCCGGCTCGGAAATTAGATTCTTGCGACAGTGGGTGTCTAGCGATTTTCGACTTTTGGGGTTATCTTCCAGAAAGTTGCAAGACATTGGATCTAGGTGTACAGATTTCGTCTGTATATTGTATTGTACGGCAAGTTCAACGCTCTGTTGAAGGCTGAGAATTTACTCTGAGAACCGATCACGAACTTTACGCCATGTCCCTAAGCACGTTCTCAAACAAGTAGTCTCTTCCAAGGTCTGGACAGGTAGATTACGTCTCTCTATTTACTTCAAATGTACAACACACTTAAGGGGAAGACAATGTAGTTGCAGCTCTTTGTCTTATATATTTCCCTCGTAGTTTCCGAAGAATCGACCGTCCCAAATTCGTCCAGCTTCAATAAGAAGATAGTGATCCTCGATAACCCGTAGAAAATGAATCAAGCAGATGGAAAGTGGTAAGGAAAATTTAGTGTGCAACCCATCAACACGTTGGTGGTCTTCCAACCATGCCAAAATATTATTGACAGTCAGGATGAAGCCTATGAACAGAATGTGCAACAGTGACGTTGGCTGTCACATACGTAGATCTTTGAACCCCTATAAGACATTTGGTGTGTCCAGGCTGCCGCGTTTGTTATACCTCGCTACTTAGAATACAAAGACTGCAGTCCCGCTAATAGGATATGCTATACAGGCGAAAAACTAACAGCGACCACTTCACATGGAACTGGCCAACACATTACAGATAACAATTGCTCAAAAACCAAGAGACAGATGCTGCAGTGAGAGCGCACCAAGGAATCAAACAAACCACTGTGTGCCTCCGCAGCAATGCAAGAGGATTGATGAGTAAACCGGGTGAAAACAGAAAAACGTGCGTTTATTTGGACATGAAGTTTATATTCCTAAAAAAATCATGGTTTTCGCCCGACATCATAGATAAAGACGTGAGCTTGCGAGGCGTGACACCTTTCAGATACGATAAGGGTACACAAAACAGGAAGTTGAGTGATGATATACAATAGCATTCACTCCAAAACCGGAACACCACACACTTCTGAATTAACCGAGATGACAGAACCAGGCTAGAGATAGAAAGAATTTAGTCTGTCGCAGACCAGTCGCATTACTGCCAATACTAATGGAGGTAATGGAAGGACTGGTCAACATACAAATTAGGCAATACATGGGTAAAACAAACTTCTTCATGAAGCTCAACACGGGTTCGGAAAAGCAAGGTCCTGTGCCGCCTATATACTCACAGAAGTGGAAAGCTGGTAGAGCTGATGGAATTATAGGATACCAGTTGACCTAATAGTCATCGATTTTGAAAATCCTTCGAAACACTACTGCGCATAATTCTCATAGCAAATGTTTCAAAGGTGAGTTTCACTGACCCATTTTTGTCTTGGTTCCAAAACTACCTAGGGAACAGAACATTTCGTTCCAAGTTAAACAGAGTGCATGGGAGTTGGAATGTCTAAGACCAGGAGTTTCACAAAAATTCTAAAGCAAAATTTTGCTCTTGATCTGTGTCAATGAACATTTGGTTGAAACTAGCAGACAACATAATGATCTGGAGCTCTATGAGAAGTAAATAGGATTCAATTTAGCTACGAAAGTACCTTACAATAGTAGAAGAATAGGTTGTAGCCACTTGATTGGAACTTAACAGGTCGAACTGTCATGTCATAAACGTCCTGTCTCATACGACACAAATCACCCACACCCTCTATGGTAATCTTCTGCAGACTATCTCCCAGGGGCGTGACCTTGGACTTTTAACCACGAAGAGCTTAGACAACAGTTCAAACTATATAGGCGACGCAGCAACATCAAACGCGACTCTCCACTTCATGCGTAGATAACATGACACAACCACCTCATATTTGATCCTAACACTTTGAGACGCACGCATGACCCCACCCTGAAGTCCAAAATGTCGTTGCACCAACCGTCTACAGAAGGGATATTAATCATCTACACTAAGTACATAGATAACCAAGTGGACGATAAGTCTGAAACATAATTTCGACAACGAGATACTCTAACACTTGAAATTATTCTCACTGATCTACAACAGAACAAAAGATGATATGACATACAACATAATAAGTACGTCAATTCACCACAACACAACCACTCCACCAGAAAATAACTACTACGCGCTTCAAGCTAACCCCAAATAGTCGCATATAAAAGAGAAAAAATTAGATAAACTCCCACTTTTTCTGATCAAGAGTTGTCCTCAATTTGAATGCTCTTCCAGTCGGAGACCACCGTCCCCTTAGTAAATTTCTCTGAAAGGAGACTCGATAAACACCTAATC